TAGTTTTTTGTGGAGTACAATCTTTATTATTTACATTCAAAACAAGTTACACACATATAAACAATAGACTTAAATGGTTTCTAATAGATTCCAATTTAGATTTATTATAATTACATAGACGAAAATTTCCTCCTTTCTATTATATGTATCTATGTATTTACGTGCATATTATTATCATATAGGTTCAGGATTGAAATGTAGACATAATGCTATCTGATTAATTGACAATAGGCATTTGGAGGCCTGTACAAACAGTCGGTCCTGAGTAATACACAAATAGCTCATTACATTGTAAGGTATTACTGCAATCACTTAGGCGATTCTGATTGATATATATATATATATATATATATATATATATATATATATATATATATATATATATATATATATATATATATATATATATGTGTCTAAATTGGTTTATTTCATTATCATGTGCTAGTAATTGTCTATAATTTTTTCTACTAATCATAAAGGATGACTCAGGAATGGCAATGTATGACAGGTATAATGGACATCATGCGCTTTATTGTGTAATTTATATGGTATTGGTTTTTTTATGCAACTTAGAATAGCAAAAAAAAAACTAGTACACCTGGATGGTAATATTTTTTAATCGATTAATCACTTCTTTGCATAAACATAGGTATAGTTATAAGTTTGATGTTGTAGAAATGTAGTGTGCTATCTTTTACTATCATAAGATATACAAATTATTAATTATATAAAACATTAATTACAGATAATAATAATAATTACTTTATAAAATACAATTAAAACCGTATATTTGATGGTCCGTATACATGGATGTTTAAAAATAGGTGTTTCAGTGACGTCTATTCTATAACTGAAATTAAGGAAAACAGTTACTGGAGATTTAATCACTGTTTAATATTATGTGTGTATTATTAAGGTTCCGAAGTTCCCTAAGGTTCCCTAGTTGTGTAAAAGCATTCTGCTTATATATAGCTCAACTCGAACAGCCCTTTGTGGAACAGTGTCAACGCCACACAAAGTTGGGCAAACGAGAAACAATTAAACTTAGAAGTTCTACCCCTTGTAGAAGCTATCGGTTCACGATATGCTATTAAAGAGGAAGTTCAGCTGGGAATACTATTCAGTATTCGACGTCACGTGATGTACTCTTGTTTGAATTATGTTCATCAGGCAAGTCAGCAGTAACAGCTTAGTTGACTGCAAGTAAGGAAATTACATGATTGTCTTTTAAATTTTATGATTTAATGTTTATATTATTTGAAAATCATTATGACTTGTTCCGTGCTTAGGATGGCATATAAAGTCATCGTTCAGTAAACCGCATAAGAGGTTATTTGTTCAAATAAGGTAACCTGGGAATCCTTAATGGTATTAATGAAGGAACACATAAGGAGCAGAACAGATGATTAGTATTTTAGAAGATAGTTTTATAGGAAAACTATTCAATATAAGATTATAAAAGCATACTTTTGTATTGTTGTATCAGTCGTTAATAGTCCACTGCAGAACATAGCTTCCCCACAAGGGGGTTTGCTAGTAGTTGCTACTCTTGGCAGGCGGGTTGGCAACGGTAGTTTTGCTTTTGGTGATGTTTTAAGAGGGACTCTGCTGCCAATCCTTCCAGCGTAAGTCCCCTTAATCCTTATGACACCCACGAGTAAAGAAGGGGTGGCCTATTCTATGCCGGGATCTACATGGTGATACACTTTTGTGAATAAAGTATGAAAATAAATAAATTGTTGTAAATTCTTTTGCCTTTTGTCAAGCAAAAAATTACTCCAAAATTTTATTTTTTTTCCTCTTATGGTATAGAATATTATTTATTTATCACCTATTTACTAATAATTTTGTGAGAATGACGCCTTTTAACGTCATTACAGTACTGTAAATAGTATATCTGAAAACTTATTTAAAATAAATGAATACGCAAACTATTAAAAGTAAAATGCAAGTATAGATAGGGTATATTCTATTTTATTATATACGTATTAACTACTGTCAGTGTAGGTATACACCTTATAATCTTGATGAATGATTAGAGATCACGCAAGCATAAGCACCATGTGGGTCCCAATAGATCGTATGTTATGATACAGGTAGGTTGTAAAATATATAATGTATCTTATATCACTATATATAATTGTCAACATTTATTTATATGATAAAAAATATAATATCTCGATAATTACATATATAAGAAAATATTTAGGCTCTTATTAATAATATAATAAATATATTTGTTAATAATAATATATGAATTTATTAATACTGAATCTTAAATAATTTATTTCTTTTATATAAATAAAATTAATATACAAATAAATCGTTATAATTCTGAATTAATAGAAATAAATTATATATTATTATATTGATATTATTTACTAGCTGTATTTTGCGGCTCTGGCTACATGAATTAGGTTAAATCGTACTTTATTATTATTATTGTTAAACTAGAACATCATTTAAAGGTTACTATCCTATTGTTACTCATAAAAATGTATCCTAGAGTGTAGTGTACACCTATATTATTGAAAAAGATTATTAAAATCGATAATTACAAATCTGTGTTAATAATTTTATCGCTTGCATTATTTTAAGCGACGAAACGGCTAAGCTTCGTAGATGAAACTGTCAGAAACAACGACAAGACGCCGTCGAATTACAAATTTAGATTTTTATTGTTAGCTCTTTGCTGAAAACTTTATTGCAACGTTATTTAACTATAAATAGAGTAAATATATAGAATTTTATTTTTGTTATCATTATTAATTGCATTTGTTAGATCAATGCACCGCCATTTATTCTGTCTGATTAGTGTAACGTTTGATTGGTAGAGAATGCCATCAGGCACACATTTTAATGTGTGTAAAAGTACAAATAAATAAAAAATGATATTATAAATATAAAAATAAGTCTATTTTAGCTTAATACCATTACCAATTATGTAGGTTAGAGGAAGAGAGAGTATTATTCTAGAGCTAAATATAGAGAAAATTGTAATCCCACTGAGACAAAGTCACGGACACGGCTATTATATATTTTTAGAAAACAATAATAATTCAAAAATATTCTTCACAAATCTTTATATCTAATTTAAGTGACTGGGGATGTAATTGACATACCTACTAGCAGCATTTGTGCTCATTCTTATTTTAGAAAGATTTTTTTTTATATTTCCTATAAGGTATGTTTGTGTAAAAAGAAACTGCCATAGGTACTATCTTTGATTTCCGTTTATAATTTATTAAACGGAAAATTTATTTAAAAAAACAAGCAATTTCTCATTTCCCTAAGAATTCCAGAAAATGTGTTCTGTTATATAAGTTTTAGTATACCTTAAAGACTAATAACTTATTGCTGGGCATAGGTTATCAGACATAATTCACCTCTCGAGGGGAAATAAAATTTTTGTGTCAACTATTTATAAGTATAATATAAGTAATTACTGAAATAAAATGTTACCTTTAGATTAAATAAGTATATGTTTTCCAATAATTTCACCATTAATAGACAAACTTCAAAATAAAATTTAAAAATAGTCACTAAAATAAATATTTCAATTGACATTTGATCGGCTTAAACCATTTTTGGAACTTAAATGTAATAAAGTTGGTCACGATAAACACCAATATGGAACCCCTATTAGAGTAGCCCTCGATAAATAATTCATTTAATATCGGCATTAAGCCAAAAACACATTTTATGTTACATTAATTCAGCCGTTGTCCAGTGTAGAACATAAATTAACGACCAATACATTCCCAACGCTAATAAAATTAAAATTTGTAAAAAATAAATTCGTAATACCTGGGTTCGTAATGCGAAAATTTAAAGATTTAATTCTATGCACAATACTTGTTTGTCTATATTTAACGAAGTAAATGTAACTCTTTATTACTATCAATTCAATAATAAACCCCATGGACAAATGGAAAATTAATCTAACGGTAGGTACGTCACTACCACATTAAGTATATTATACTAAACCTTGATTGAATATGTAAAGTGTATTTTTTTTTCCTAAAACATTATTTTGGCTTTTATTGCTCTTATTAAGACCACTCATATCAATTTTTCTTAAATATATCTCATATACAGACATTGTCTAGTTACTAATTTTATTATATTATTAAGACATAATGATATATTATTATTTAATTACGTATATATTTTATGGCAAAATTCGCTACTATTTGTTTTTAATTTTTAATTCTTTTTAAATAGAAAAAAATACTCCTACCTATCTGTTGTTTCTATGATAGTCGACTACATCATGAGAGGTATATTTATAAAAAATATGTATTACTTTGTAAAAGGTTCTGTATAGTTTACAATTACATGTGTTTTTTTTAAAATAAAATGAAGATCAGTAATGTATTTGTTGCAATAGAATTGAAAGAGGTTGTTTAAAACAGTTTGCTGGTCTGGTTTGACTCTCTAACGAGCTTTTAATAAACGAGTTAAAAAGGAGAAGATTCTTAATATAACTATATAATTATGTCTGTAAATATATCACACGATGTCAATGGGTTCAGTTTTAACTGAACTTATAATTTACTTATAAACTTTACTTAATAACTATTAACTTCTTTCTTTTATATCGTTAGAAGTTTCGTAAGTATGCATTATATTGTAATGTAATAACAACCGGTTTAACTTATGATAAATAACCAATTTACTTATAAGAACATAATAGGCCGTCATTATTATATTTTACTAAATGAACCCCTAAAATACCCTCATCTATATTAAACATACCATAATCAGAAAATCTCTCTACCGGGTGATAAGTATAACTTATTGATGTATAATTAGAACTATAATTATAATGACACTGAATTCTGCAAGGTTTCTCTATGATTGCCATGGTGATAATATGCCCCTATAATTATTGTATGTGTTCAAACAAGAGCAATCATAGAAAATTGACAAACTAATTATTTAGTTGATTATACTCACGGGTATTTAAACATTTCGCTGAAAAAGTAAACAAAGTCGTCTTCTGAACAAGGAAAGAGACATGTTGAAAATAGTATTTCTCTATGTATTTATATATGGAGCTGCCAACGGTATAACATATACATTTATATTTTATTTTTCACTATTTAAAGTTTCTGTATAAATAATTTATATATAAGACTTTTGAATTTTTCATCCAATGGTTATATGATTAGAATTGTTTTGTTTAATTTCGTTACCAAATATTTAGTCTCGAAGGGGGAATACACTGTATTATATAATTTATATATTGATAGTACAGGCGTGGTTATCATTCCATTTTTAAGCAACTTAGGATGGCAAATCAGCTGATGGCCCACCTGATGGAAAGTGGTAACTGTTTCCTATACACAGTAACAGTACCATGGATATGAAAAGGTATACTCTGTGGCTCATGAAATTCTCCCATTTTCACTCATTAAAAAAATTCCTCTTCTTCCTCTAAAAGTTGGTGAAATACGTGTGTTTACAGATGTTCTAGCAAGGAGCCACGGCAAAAGGAACAAATGGCACGATGGCGGGAAGATTGTGGGCGGAACGGAAACCAATATAACATCGTATCCATATCAAGTATACGTGGAGGTTCTAAGAGGTGTTCTATCCTATGGTTGTGGAGGAAGCATTCTTAGTGACAAATACGTGTTAACTGCTGCCCATTGTCTAACAGGGTATGTTGTTTTTTGTTTGTAACGTACTGGTAATCTCAAACGATTTACTTCCCTTGTACTGAGAAGTAGTTACCGAGAATATCGAGGACACTTGGGGCATTAGAGAATAAAGGTACAGTCCATAGTCCTACTTATGTGTTGATATTTCTGAGGACTCAGGTCTTTTGTTTTCTATAAGATTTGTAATGATTTATTTTTAGACTGAAACACAACACATTTGTAACTGCTTCACAATAGTTAATAAGGTAAAATAACAGATAGCCGAGACACAAAGAGTGTTACCAGGAAAGGTAAAGGGACAGCATACGAAGAATTCTTTGGACTAACACAGGTGTCAGATGATCATCAGATATGTTGTAAATTTATCTTCATTGTATATTTTTTATTGAAGCTGTAAGAAATTGTTGCGTATTAGAGATCAACTATGTAAGCTATGAATCGTCTCTTCTCAGAATTAGAAGTTGGTACTGGTATTTTGAAAAAAGTAACAGTCGAGTTCCATTGAATTTCTTTGTAGATGAATCTATTTTTTGAACTGGTAAGATCAAAGACAAACAAAAATTGTAGTATGTAGGTGTTTTATAATTTTATTTACTTATCTTAGCGTCTCAAGAGTACGGGTTAGAGCAGGCAGTACATCGGCAAGCAGTGGTGGCACCAGATATACAACATTCTTGTACAAGATCCATCCTGACTACGATCCTATAACTAGTGATAATGATATTGGTATAATTAGAATGGTGCGAAAAATGACATTGGACGGTGTAAATACTAGAGCTGTAGCATTACCATCCGCTGACACAGTTATAGACGAAGGCCAAAATGTTGTTGTTACCGGATGGGGTGCTACTTCTGTAAGTAATTTTCCAGATTCGATTTTTTTTATTGTTTTTGATCTACCTAAATCTATTCTACAAATTCCGTAACGCAGTGGTAAGCATGTCGTTTTAGGGAAGTGAGGTCTTAAGTTTGACTAAGTTTGAGACTGGACCAATTTATAATAGTTATCTGGTATTTCATATTACATGGTATTTGATATAGCTCGAGAACTAGACAATTTGTTTTATTGTCTAACATTTATTATTCATTAGAAAAGAGAATTCTAGATTACGATATCATTTTTAATGGAATTTTATAAATGTAAATTGAAATCTACAAGTTAAAATTGAAATAATTAGCATCTTATAAGAGAGTGTAAAACGATGCTAACGACTTTGATACCGTCTAGTACATTTGATATAAGTAATTGAAGAAGAATATTGTAAATAAAATTTTGGCTTTATATTTACTGTTTAACATTTTATTTTAGGAGGGAGGTTCTGGTTCGGATACTTTGATGGTGGTAACGGTACCGGTTGTCTCACTGCAATCTTGTAATGAGACTTACTCAAACAGTATCACACCACGAATGTTTTGTGCTGGGTACGAAGAAGGTGGCAAGGATTCTTGTCAGGTATTTATTACTTTTATTTCTCTTTTACAATACGTTTATGTATTTTCATCATCATAATTATCCATTAAATTAATCCTTAAGTTAAACTTTTGCTTAATTTCATGCATTTCTTTTCTTTTTACGTAGATTCTCTTTCACACTGAACTATCAGCATTTGCTTGTAACTTAGTTTACGTGGAGTTAGTATTTTTTAATGGTGACGTATGTTCTTCGTCGAAGTTCAAGGTGTACTGACTAAATTTCATCAAAAACTAGCAGAGTTACTTTTACGATCATAATATTATTATGGATTTATGTATTTATTAACTACATCTGTTTTAAATTTAAATTTATTTATACAGGGTATAAGGGATAGATTGGCAAAAACTGAAACTGTGAATTCAGACCATTATTCTGAATTGAAAACCAGTGAAAATTCTTTCCGGAAAGTTTCAATATTTTTCCTGATTTTTTTTCATTTAAAATCTTGTAATCTATTATATTACGTCATAACATAAAAAAGTAATAATATTTTATAGGTATATACTATGAAATACCAAAAAAACAGCAATGTAATACGTATTAAAATCCTACTGCGACGCGCGGAATCAATTTCATTCATCTGGATCAGTTGTTTTCGTTTTGGCCAATCTGCCCCTTCTATATAAGATTTTAAGAAATCTTTTAAATGTAATTAAATCCATTTAGGGCGATTCTGGCGGTCCAGCTGTTGACGAAACAACCGGTGAGCAATTAGGAGTAGTGTCATTCGGCAGAGGCTGCGCTCGACCCAACGTTCCCGGCGTGTATACGAACGTCGTCGAATTCTTAGACTGGATAGCTGAGAATACTAGTTCTTAACCAAAATTTCTGTTCTCTTTTAGGCTGTGTTAATATATAGATAAGAACCTGAATGACACAAAAGGAATTTTTATAAATGTTGATGTCAGTATACCAGTAATAGGACATAACAATCGAAAATCCAGGAATAGTATTCATTAATCTAAACAACATTTCGAAAAATAATAAACAATTTTTAATCCAATCATACCTACTGGATGTTTACAATAGCTGTACTTAGTCTGTTAAATATATTTAATTATGCTATTAATTTTATTTATTGTTGGTGTTGGTTATTATTATATGTTATTACATAGTTTAATAATGATACAATTTCAAACATTTTGTGTTTTATTCAGTTTTTAGAACAGAAGTATATAGTAGTACATAACACAATCTATGTATGTTTGAATTTTGATTGTGAAGTATTCTACATGAATGCCATATCGTGATAAAAATACATTTATATTCCTATCATACTTGATTCAATGTTTATATAAAAAATTATATAGTATACCTATACCTATATATTTTTTTAAATAAACATTGCGCGCCTTTTAAAATTCATGAAACGTTTTTATTTATTTATTTTAAAACAATTTTTTTTTTCATTAGAGTACGTTTTAAGAGACTTCATGATATCTGATCTACCTATCTATCATTCACAAGAGCGACGTCCCTATATTGAATATTTAATTACTTTTTCTCTTTTCATTCTGATTGAAATTTATTTAACTTGATACAGCAACACCAAGGGTGCTTGGATTTTGCAATCCTTAGGGATCTCTGATAATAGCCTCACGCTAACGCTGTGACTTTATCCTTGCGATAGTCTAATTTAATTCATAAAAAAATTTTGACACATATTATTATTAAAATTATTTAGGGCATTTTTTCTGTAAATAATTACGATAAAATAACAAAGACCTCTACATTCCATGCAACATTAAACAAATTAGAGTTTAAGCTATATTTTATGATTCGCTTGACCGATTGTGCGCAAGTAGATAACAACAAGTTACAGCTTATGCTCGCAGAAGCGAATTACTCTAATATTTTTCCTAAGCTGAGAGTATTGTTTAATTATATGTAAAATAACGGTACTTGAATAATGATAAATGTCTCCGACTATTCTATCAGGGATTAAAATTGTGAGCATATTTATTTTAAAAAAAAATATACCTATTATGTATAAAACTCGTAGATAAGTCATTTATATTTTGAATAAATTAAATATATTTGGCGACAAGAAACCATAACTGAAACAGTCCAACAACGAACAAAAATAATAAGAAATTGAATAATTGATGTGTCAAAAATGCAAATGCAGATATCCATCGGCGAGAAGAGAAGAAACTTTTTATAAATGACAAAACTCACAATGAATACTAACAGAATCCCTTAGCATTTAAATGAACGGGACCTACAAAGTTCTTGTGTAAGTGAAACTTTTTTAATTTCGTTGAAAAGTGCCAGGTGCTTGGCGCACGTCAGTATCAATTCGACAGACAATCCCTCCCTCACTGTGTTCCGTGATAAGGCGCTTCTCAAGTAGAAATGTAATCGTTGTTTTTTAATTGAGATTGTGCTGATTTTTAAATTGTTGTTTTGCGTTTTCCTTTTCAAGAGATGCAAGAAAAGTTTTGTAATTAGAAATTAGTTCTTTTGTTTACTGTGTAAATGAAAAGAAAAGGGAAATTAGAGTTTGTGGAATTGTATAGATAACATCAATGAAAAATAATGGCTTGTGAGTCAAAGGTTCGTTACAAAAACTCTGTATCAAATAATTTTATCGGTTAAAATTATTTTGCCACCTTTCACTTGAGTTAGAAACGAATATATTAATTCTAAAAAGAACACGCGATAAGCAAAAGAATTCCTACAAGGATATTTGAAGATTGTTAATTTTATTATTACCTAAATACCTAAGTAGATGGACAGAAGATTATAGATTTATAGTCTATGAATTGCCATGTGGTTTGGGCATAGAATGAGCCACCAGTAACTTTTCCATCAGTGTCGTAAGAAGTGACTAAGGGAACTTAGTTATCGAAGGATGGACAGCAGCGTCTTTCTTGAAACATTACCATAGCTTAGCTATGGTTGCCAAACCGCCTGCTAAGTGTGGCAACTACTGCCGCCACTTATGGGAGGCCTATGTTCAGCAGTGGACGGTTAACTGCTGATATGGTATGGTATTGTATTCAAATATTGTAGTTTATTAGTTGAATCACTTAATGATTTTAAGTAGTTACAGTTAAAAAAAAGTATTTCCCAAAGAGGGTTGACGTCAGGCAGGCGACTGGTTGTAAAACTAAAAGGCAAATCTTTTTGTAATATGGAATAAAACATTACGCCGACCCCATATAATAATTAGGATAAGGGTAGGAAGATGATGAGTTAAAAAAAAGTATATGAATATGAATTTTCATGCATGAGACGCTAATAGGGCTAAACTTCGTACCGAAGATTTTCTTTAACATCATTTGGCGTTATCTACAAGTCGACCGCAGACTGGAATAACACAAAATGCAATTGACGCTGCAATGTAATGAACAAATAAATAGAAAAACAATATTAAATTGAAACAGTAATTTAAAATAACATTCATATAATACTCATATTATTTACATTATATATATATATATATATATATATATATATATATATATATATATATATATATATATATATATATATATATATATATATATATATATATATATATATATTTTACTATACACATAATACATATCAAAACATAATAAGTAGATATAGTCCCACATACACGGAGCGAATTCTTGTCGTGACGATTGTTCGTTCGATTTTGAACATCGAACGACGAGTCACACGTATGTTGCAATGTCGTATCCAATTTTACAGGGAGATGGATCGTTACAATAGTCATTTCGACTAATCGAAAAGATAAATTGCTTCATGTTTAGCGAGTATTAGATAGTATAGACGTCTGAAAGAACAGAAAGCTGTTTATTATTAGCGATGTTCCACAAATCGCAACAGTTTTAGCAGACTGGACGGATGAAAGGAAAAGATAAATGAAAATGTAATTAAGCACAAGGAAAACTTTTAAGAGAGCGTTAAAAAGTTTCTTAGCTCCGGCAACATTATTTATTTCTCTCCCAGGGTAATCTTGTTATTTGTTTGTTTTATATTATATTTTTTGTAAATTAAAACACACCGAAATAATTGCGAGAAAAATAAACATCGCTCTCTTGGTTCAGTTAGATAAATTATATTTGGTACATAGAGCTGAAACATTTTCTACATTGTGTATAATTATTTTTTTTATTAATAAATATATTTTTATTTTATGAGTTTTTAATTTTTGTGTAAATAAGTTTTAATTTTAAATAAACTTTTGACGTAGGTAAAGGAGAAATAGCACTTAAAATCTTTATCTTTAGGAGTATCTACTTATTCCGTAGACTGACGTTTACTTTTTCGGATAGCACATAGTTTAACATAGTCGTCCATTTCCTGGAAGCACCCGAAGTGATTTGAAGTGAAGTGGCTCAGTACAACGATGAGCTATGAGAATTATCGATGATCCTAGGCTTACAAGCGGTATCGAACCCTTAAGTCTTAGGAGAGATTTTACCTCACTCTGCGTGTTCTACTACTACTCTTCTTTCTACCATCGTACAACTCGCTATTGACAGGGAGTTCACCCCCAAACCTTAAAGCCTAGATTTTAGAGATATTTCCTCCCACGAATGCTTAGATTATAAAATGCCTGTCAAGGTTTTCCTAAAAAATTACAGCATAGGGTTTTCCAAAAAGGGGGTAAGGATGTTTTTTCAGGGTTAGCAATGGACACGTAATATTTTTGGTTTTGCAGGCGTTTATAAGCTAACCTCAGTAGTATAAAAAAAGATCTTCGAAACCATCCGAAAAAGATTAAACAAGTGACAAGGACTCGACACAACAATGCATGAGGCTAATTGTGCTACAATTTAAAAAATAAATCTATGCGTGTGAACTGTTTAGAGTTTAAACAGTTGATAGAGTACATGACAAGACAGAAATTTCGTCCAATGATTATTTCTGATAAGGTTAAGAATCACTGGTCTATTCAATCATGCATATCCTCTTTTATTTTAAAACCTACACATTCTTTTAATGCATTTATTTTCACATAACCTTTGCACGCTCTATATTTATCTAATTTATCAAATTATTCATGCTTTGTTAGAGACATCAGAGGGTGAAACCCTGGTAACTGGTAGTGATATTTAGTTTATGTATTGAATTTTAAGTTTTGAAATATTTCTATAATTTTATAAGTGATTCGAATATTTATTATTTTACTGCGTAAATTGAAATAATAAAGACTACACCTATTATGTTTTCATAAATTTATAGCAATTTCCTGGTACTTATATTGTCTTCAATAATTGCCCAAAATCCAGGAATTTGAGTGTCAAATAAATATTGAAACATTTGTATTTTGATTAGATACTGTCCAACCTTCTCAGGAACTCTTCAATTGATATAAATATTTCAAAAATTTTTTAACGTTCCCTGGACATATACAGCGCCATATGTAAATTAAACAGAGATTATAGTATAGGCATGAGACGACTGTGTAGACCACGCCACACAAAGAAAATTGGAGTGAACTCAAATCCAGAGACCCGCAGGTAATTGCCCCTGGAGTTGAAGTCAGAATAAAGAGGAATTCTTCGAGGCCCCATCAACCTTTCTCCCAGAGAGTTTGATGACTATTGATGGTGATAAGACAACTGTTTAACGTTCTCAAATTTTTTTTTGTAGATATATATTTTATATATTTAGACCAATACAAACAGACACTCAGTAATAAAACATTCGTATTGTAAGAAAATTAAACTCGTGACTGTCAGAATGTAAAGCGGTGTGTTGAGCTGCTAGATCGCCATAGTCGTCAATATGTTGATTGCGTACTGCACATGATTATAGATTACTGTCGGGTGTGATACTTAATGACCGTTATAAAAAGGGCATCATTTATAGGTCAAAGTGCTTACATTGCAATGCTTGTAATGTAATAGCGAAAGTAATTAAGGATTAAACAAGAAAAAGGTGGAACGTAATATCAAAATTACTGGTTTCCAACAAAATGAAAGGGAATGTAGAAAATTGATTCTTGTTGTCGTACCCTTACTGTGTTTAAGGTCTGAGATTACAAAATAAGTGGATGAGATGAAGTCAAATATTATAATGTATTTTTGACTATTTTGGCTGCGATATTCATCTTATATGCTATCCTGTTGAAATATTATAGGCCACATGAGCAGTGTAACCATCATATAGATTATAGATTTTCCATAATTTAACTACAA